GATGTGGCACGACTCTCGGCTCTCTGGTGAGTCTGCTCTATCTGAGGCTCCCAATACCCTCATCTTTCCAGCCCTTTCTGGTTTTCTCTGTTTGCTTTTCTTTTTCTTTTTCTTTGTTTAAGCAGACCTCTTTAAACCTCCCCTTCCCCAACCAACAAACCCTGAGGAGAGTTAAGTGATGTTTATCAGCAAATATAAAACTGACATCTTAGTGCAAACACAGCTAACTGATAAACACGTCGATGATTCTGTGTAGCAAGGTGCTGGATGTTCTGAGGGATACAGAGAACGAATCCAGATGAGTCATGTTTTTGAAAATAAATGAAGCCCACAATCAGACAGCACTTGACGGGCAGTAATTGAAAAGACATGATCAAGTGTTGGCGGGGACACGGAGAAAGTGGAACCGTCTTGCACCCCAAGTGAGAATGTCAAATGGTGCAGCCACTTTGGAAAACAGTTTGGTGATATCTTAAATAGTTAAATGTACCTCACCATATAATCGAGCTCTTCAGTGTTAGGAATTCTGCCCAAGAGAAGTGACAAAGACTTACACATGAGTGTTCATAGAAGTATTACTCATAATATCCTCAAACTTGAAACAACCCAAATATCCGTCCAGTGGTGAATGCATATAATACGGTATATCCATACATTGGAATATCATTTAGCAGTTAAAAGAAATGGAATACTAAAAGATGCGACAATATAGATAAACCTCAGAAACATTATAAGCAAAAGATGCCAGACACCAAAGGCTATATATTATAAGGTTCCATGTACGTGAATCTATAAAAAGCATACTCAGAGAGACAGAAAGCAGATTTGTGGTTGCCTGAGGCTACAGAGGAGAGCAGAAAACAACTGCCAGTGGGTTTGAGGAAACTTTTTAGGATGACGGAACTGTTCTAAAACTGGATTGTGGTGGTAATTACACAGTTCAGTAAACTTACCAAAATCACTTAATCACACATTTATAATGGAATTTTATGGAATATAAGTGTTACCACGATAAAGTGGTTAAATATTTTTTAAAACAAGGCATATAGCAAATTAAAGAATCAGTTGTTCCCCTTTCTGCAAAAGAAATAGAGAGGTACAGGGGCGCCTGGGTGGCTCAGTCGGTTAAGCGTCCGACTTCCGCTCAGGTCATGATCTCTCAGTCCGTGAGTTCCAGCCCTGTGTCGGGCTCTGTGCTGACCGCTCAGAGCCTGGAGCCTGTTTCAGATTCTGTGTCTCCCTCTTTCTCTGACCCTCCCCCATTCATGCTCTGTCTCTCTCTGTCTCAAAAATAAATAAACGTTAAAAAAAAAAAAAAAAAAGAAAGAAATAGATACAAGTCCGAGTATGGCCTGCAGGCCCCGGGATCCCTATAACATTCTCAGGATGTCCTCGAGGTCATTTTCCTCACAATTCTAAGAAGCATTTTGCCTTTTTGCTGTGTTGACATTTGCACTGATGATACAGAAGCTGCAGCGGGTGAAACTGCTGGTGTCTTAACACCAGTCAAGGCGGTGGCACCAAACCTCGTCAGCAGTCATCGTATCCACCACCACCATGTGCTTCTAATGGAAGAACACGTTCCACTGTCACTTCAGAGTGTCCTTCATGAAGCAGTAAATTTTATTTAATGATATTGTCTTGTGCCTTGGATGCATACCTTCTTAAACATTTTTTTAATGTTTGTTTATTTTTGAGAGAGAGACAGAGACAGAGTGCAAGTGGGGGAGGGCCAGAGAGGGAGGGAGACACAGAATCCGAAGCGGGCTCCAGGCTCTGTCAGCACAGAGCTCAACGGGGGGGCTTGAACCCACAAACCGTGAGATCGTGACCTGAGCCGAAGTCGGACGCTTACCCGACTGAGCCACCCAGGCACACCTGTGCACAGCTTTGTAATAGTCTATGCGATGAAATGGGAGATAGGCACACATAAAACATTTTTTCTGCACACCCAGGTAGGACGGTTATCCCAAGGAAAAGTACTTCTGCAGTTGATTGAGTTGCAGGCTGAACTAGATATTGTTTTTATGGAACACCGTCTCTACTTTAGAAAAAAAATGTGTGGCAGATAAATTATGGATATTCAGACTTGGGTATTTGGCAAACATCGTCTCAAGAATGAATGAAGAGAACTTGTCACTTCAAAGACAACAATTGGCAGTATGTGTTGCCAGTCATAAAATTCAAATGTTAAACCAAAATTAGAATTTTGGAAAACTTTATACCACCACGAGCTTCCGTCAGGATCTCCTGACAGATTTCTGTCAGGATTCTGACAGCTTCTGTCAAGATTTTCCTGATGAGATTGATGGTGATTTTAACAAATGTGATTTCTTTTTTCATCTTGTATAATGAAATGTGTCAAAATTTGGAGAATATGGGCAAAGGGTGCTTGATACTAAAACGGTTTGAGAACTGCCAGCCTAGTGGCCGATAGCGTGGATGCGGAGGACCCTTCTTGGGTTGAAATCCCAATGCTATCACTTATTTCTTGTGTGGTCTCAGGTAAGTGCTTCATCTCTCAATGCCTCAGATTTCTCATCTATAAAATGGGGATAAAAACGGTACCTATTGGGGCGCGTGGGTGGCTCAGTTGGTCAAGTGTCTGATTCTTGGTTTCTGCTCAGGTTCATGATCTCATGGTTTCATGAGCCCAAGCCCCATGTCGGGCTCTGTGCTGCCAGCATGGAGCCTGCTTGGGACTCTCTCTCTCTCCCTCTCTCTCTGCCCTTCCCCCACTCATGGTGTCTCTGTCCCTATCACAGTAAATCAATAAACTTTAAAATAAGAAGAAGAAAGTAAAAATAAAACCGGTAGCTACCTCAGAAATGTGGACGTAAAAATGAGTTAATATATGTAAATAACTGTGAATATTAAACTGAGTTCATATACGGAAATCACTTAGAATAGTGCCTGACTTAGAGTACGTGGTCATTGGGTCGTTGTTACGATCTTGGTGAGTGGTGATTTGTAAAAACTAATGCATTTTACATGTGCAATCCATAGAAATGTGTGTGTAATTATGTATACTTTCTTTTTCCTTTTGTGTAACTGGGAAATCTGAAGCTGAGATTCCTTCCCGAGCCTCTGCCTCGGTTTTGGCCCTCCCGCTTCCTGGCAGTGCGCACCTGTGCGTGGTGTCCGGGGGGCTGGCTCGTTCCCGCTCGGGGACTGAGTGCCCGGCCCGTCCGCCCAGCCTCTGTTGCTTGGGATTTCCTTCTTCTCCTAGCAACCACACAGTGTGGTTTTAAGGAAGATGTGGTGACTCAGTGCCATTATGAAGGGTACGGTTTAATAGATTGAGTATGAACAGAATACAGTTGTGTACGGTTTCTAGTTTTAGTATTAGAAGCCGCGTTCCTGCCTCAGCAGTGTTCAAAATGACATCATTTTAGCTCAGTGTTTGGGAACTTATGTGAGTAGAGAAAAAGTGGAAGGCCCCGTCATATGTCTATTTTCAGTGCTTAATCCAAGCTGACAGGAAGTTTAAGGGGAAAAAGATGACTAACTTGGAACCTACCTCTGCAGTCCTTCCAGAGGGACGACATGTGAGCTATTTTTCTCTCTCACTGTTAAAAAGACGTTCATCACATGTTGACCTTGCTCACTTGTGCAACCAGTAATGTGACGCGCAGCTCCCGTCAAGTGCTGGGCCTCGCCCTCCCGGAGCCGGTGCCCTGCTTTGTAAACACGAAGGTACTTTGTCTGTTGTTCCCTGACTGTGTCAGCAGAAGGAACAGTTATATATTTTATACCCATTAAAAGGTTGTGAAAACACTCCAAAGTTTAGTGTGAGGTAAAGAAGGTAAGATAGACTGCCAAAGAATCGTAATGGTTGTTTCTTTTCCTAGAAGATCACAGACAAAATTACCCTCTGTTGTGGAGTACCGATGTTATACAGATACGCTCACGTTTGATGGTGAATAGCCAAAAACCCACAGTGTGTAAATCACTGGAGGTTCACGGATTTAAATGGCTTCTGCTATCCTGAGAGAAAGATGAACTCTTGAAGCAAGAGTTCATTTGGGGGCCATCTGTTTTATCTGTCATCCCACATCCCTCTGCATCTGGGAAGAACAGCGGGCCAGCCCATGCGAGTCTTTATTCCTTGCCCCAGCCTAGGCTTTGAATTATTGCTGCACATCAAGATCCTTGCATGCACACCGGCACTTGTTAAATAGGTTGAGAACAGCCCTGACTTTCATTTTGGGGGTGTGTTTTGGGAGCCAATTATAACGCCTCCTGAATATTTTGTAAAGGTAATGTATAAATACAAAGCAGTGCCATTATTGAGATGGTCTAAATACAGAGCAGTACCACGACTGAGGCAGCGTGCTTACCGATATACTTGCATTTAAGATTTGAGAGTGTTTCTTTCCCATGTGGCTAGTATACTGGGAATAGGAAATCAGATCAGACTAAAAGCCAAAGAAGTGCTTCTCGAATATAGGTTGGTAGTGAATTTTATTAATTCAATTGAATTCAATCTCACAATATTTGTTATGAGTGGAATAGATTTAGTTATTTTTAATCATGTTCTTCTCTCTGTCATTGCTAGGACCTTGTGCAAACTTCATGTCTCAGTAACTACAGATGTCTTTTATAAATAGAATGCACTGAAGTTAGTTGACCTGGGCATGTGAACAGTGTCTGTGATTATACTACGGCAGCTCTTTGACACTAGAATCTTCTGTTCTTTGAGTGTCTTCCTATTTTTAGTAACTCCTAAAAACACCTAAAAATCACATATGAGTTGCACATAATTTTCAAAAATAGTTAATAGCTGTTTTTAAAACTCCCGCCTCTTTTCACGACAGTGTTCCAAAATCTCTGGCGGTTTCACCTTACAGTGTGATCTCTTTGCAAGGATTTTTGTCCTTGTGAAGCAACCAGCTGTGAAGGGTCTCAAGCAAAACTAACATTTCTGTGATGACAGTTTATGCTGCTGTTTGATTGTCGATTCTCATCTTGTCTTCTATGTGTCTGTTTGTGTTTTTCAGGAAAAAAGTGCCAGTTCAAATGTGAGACTTAAAACTAATAAAGAGATTCCAGGATTAGTTCATCAACCCAGAGCAAAGTGAGTTCTAGTTCCTTTTTTCCTTATATTGTTTTTAAAGCTAATAATATTTTCAGAGTGAGCTCAGTTTTGCCTGCCAGATAATCAAGATGTATTATAAAGCTTCAGTGATTGAGACACTGTGATTTGGTCTAATGGAACAGAGCAGAGAATGCCAAAAAAGACCCACAATAACTGACAGAACAGACATGTCAAATCAGTTAAAAGAAAATAAAAGGGAATATCTTTATGACTATGGGGTAGGGAAGAATTTTGAAAAAGTCACAAAAGATGCAGATCTTTGAAGAAAAATGATTAATATGACCGCATTAAAATTAAGAACTTCTTTTTATCAAAATTTGCTGTAGGAGAGTAGAAGGAAGTGATGGAATATATTTACCACGCATATAATTGACAACGGTTGGGTTTCCAGAATATGTAAAGTAACTCTATAAATCAATAAGTAAAAAACAGAGAGCTCATAGAAAAAGAAGCTAAAGATATAAACAACCATTTTACTGAAGAGGAAACATGAATAGCTAACGTCTAGGAAGAAATACCATTTCACACCACAAGATTGGCAAAAAATTTAGAAGTCTGACAATACAAATGGTTGACCAGGATGTTGAACAACAGGCCTCTTTACCCTAGTGGAAGTATAAACTGGTACAATTACTTTGGAAAAGTTTGTAGTTTCTAAGAAAATTGTATCTGGGCATACCTTGCCCACCAGCGATTCCCCCTCTCAGTTATATACCCTAGAAAAACTTGTACATGGGTGCTGGAAGACCTAGTTGACCTGGAGAATTCTACATATCAGTGAAAATGAATGACTTAGAGCTGCACCTGTCAAGATGGAAGAAGGTCATAAATATAAGGTTGCACGGGAAGGGAAGTAAGTGGTAGTCCCTGCCTGCTATAGTTTCATTTGCATAAAGTTCAAAAACAAGCCGAATGAATCAACCTATTATATATGTCTGTGATAAAACAATAAAGACAAGCAAGGAAATGAAAAGGCATTAAACTTGGAAGCGTGGTTCTTTCTCACTGGATGGAAGACAATGGGACCAGGGGTTCTGTTTCTTAATCTGAGTGGTGATGATATGGGTGTTCCTTTAACTATTGTTATGTAAAACTGTACAAATAACATATGTTTTCTATGTGTTATGAATTGCACAATTAAAAAGTTAAAGAGAATAATGGGTATTTTTCTAGATTGTTCTAGAACCGAATCTACCTTGGCGATAAAATGCACTTTGTGTGACACTCAAGCTATCTCTCCTTTCCTTCAAAGAGGCTCCATTTTCCCAGAGCTACAAATCTGTTTTGTGGTGTTCCATCTAAATATGAACAAATTCCCTGAGGGTGCTGATCACACTGGTGGCACAGTCACCCCCACCCTAAAATAAATCCATGTATGTAATAGTAGTTCCATAAATCCATGCCATAAGCAGAAGAAGTTGTGTTATGTCTGATTCTTCCCAGGAAATCGAGACAAAAATAACCTAGTTCATAATCACTTTACCCTGGCTCGGTGTCTGTGGAGGTGCTGCAGGTGGTTAGGCCTCGACAGGGGGTGGTGATGAGATCAAGGATTTAATTTTTTTACTTTCAAAGGAAACTGGACATTTTAAAATCCACTTATCATCTGTAATTTCAATGGAATAGTAAAGCCAATTTTTGAACCGTTGGGTACACATTATGTCATAATCACAACCTTCCTGTCCACTTCACTGATAATCACTTTTATCAACACTAATTGTATCTGCCTTGGAGAGACAGCAGATATCTCATGATACAACCAAGTCATGTTTTCATCCAAGCCATTCAATATATGCTATTTTTAAATGTTTCCCATATCTCTGAGTTCTAAGAAGAGACTATAAGAAGGAGAATTTCTTTTTCCCTTTACTGTGAATACTTATTTAATTTAGACATACTGAAGCAGCCTCCTTTGCAAACTGATATGTGCTGAAGCTTTCAGAGAAATTGACTAAATTGGCTTGTGTGTTTACATTAAAATTAGGAAGCAAATCCTCTGTTATTCGTGTGTGTGTGTGTGTGTGTGTGTGTGTGTGTGTGTGAGTTTTAAACTATGAGTCAGAACCTGGGTTACTGGAATTCAACTACGAAATCTTTCTGGAAGGCCACAAGAAGTTTTACTTTTCCTCCTTGCTGACACAGGTGATTAAGAAACTATTATTTATTATGCAGTGTATACATAAGTTAATGAGTTTCTTTTCCCCAGAAGTGGAAGAACAACCCCATACCTGATAACAGGAGATTTATTAATAATAAAGGTAGATGGTCTTCACATCTTCATCTGAGGTACTATGCAGAGCACATTCTTACTGACTTTGGGATCTCAAGAGAGTGACCTAATGTCATCAGGCTTCAGTTTTCTCAGAGAAAAATAGAGGAGAATCGTCATCTCTTACAGGGCTAGAGATATTTATAAATGAAATAATGTATGACCCAGTGCCAGTCACAGTATCTGATGCTGGTAAGAATGCCTTAACAGTTAGAAACAACGCAAATGCCCTTTGGGACGCCTGAGTGGCTCAGTCGGTTGAGCTTCCGACTCTTGGTTTCAACTCAGGTCATGACCTCAACGGTTTGTGAGTCCTGCATTGGGCTCTGCGCTGAGAGTGCAGAGTGTGCTTGGGATTCTCTCATTGCCTCTCTCTCTCTGCCCCTCCCCCCATCAATAAAATAAACTTTATTTCAAAAAAAAAGCAAAGAAAAGAAATAACCCAAATGCCCTTTTACAGGAAATTGGGTAAATGAACCCCACTGCCTTCACACAGTGAAATATTAGTTAAAACTCACAACACTAGAGGGACCGAGGAATATAACAATAGGAGAAAAGAGTAAATCCTGAAAGATTACAGAAAGCATGATGCACTCTTTGTAAAGTTAAAAACAACTAAATAAATCATCTGCATTTTAGAGCACACGTAGAGGCAGTAAAGCTATACAAAGGGAAAGTAAGGGGATGTTGGTTCCCTTGAATTGAAGAAACACACATGGGTAGGAAGTAAATTAGCTCTAGGTTGTTGTCAAGGTCCTCGCATTCGTTTTTTACTTTGGCTTCATGAGTGCATATTATGCTACTTAAAAAAAGTATATTCGACTAAATAAAAGTAGCTGTGCGTGACTATAAGCAAGGGTGTGTCATAATGTGAGGATTAGGATTAAGCCACTTGCCCGAGATCCAATTGAGCAATGACGATGATGATTTTGAAGAAATAACTATTCAGGCCAAGATTTGCAGGAACCCAATGAGTAATTGCATTTCATTTTTGCAGGTGAAATATTAGGGAGTTAGGACCTTGTCTTCTGATACTTTTGTGGCTTGGGCTTTTATTATTGGAAACTTTTTCTTAAGTCCCTAAAAATGGAAGCCATATATCTTTCAGCTCAAACCCTCATCTTGCCCACCCTCTTCATTCCTTTGATTACTTGTCTTTAAGATTCCATACTGTTATCATCCCTAGTCTCATGAAACTGAGAAATCACAGACAGAAGAGTCTTTGACGATTCAAGGTTAACTCACAAGAGCTCTGCCAGCACCATCTGGGGGCATGGGAAGTGCTCCAGGAAAACGTTGTGCTTTCCGCGACTGAGTTTATTAGAAAGAAATAGGAATTACTGAAATTGTTAAGTTTGATTAGTTAAATCAAGGTACCAGCATACAGACTTTTCTAAAAGACTTTTAGATCTAATTAATCTTGGCATCAAATACTCACTTTGTAAGTGGATTCATAAACAGTCTAATTATCCCTTTCTAATACCTTGAGGAAAGACAGGCCAGTGTGCTTTTTTCTCCCGCACCACTCACAGCCACCAAATTGTGCAGCAGAAAGGGCTTAAGAATCCAGTTATTACTTAAGGACTGGTTCTCACAGCACAGTTTGAACGTAAAAACTAATATTAATGCATTGTGTTGATAGAGTTTCCACGTGAAAAAGAGAGCATCCGTGTTTATCCCGGCAGGAGACCGCTGAGACGGATCATTTATTTCATCAGAGTGAAAATGCCATCTCTGTCCCTGTTGAAGGGATTTCAGGGCTTGCCTGTGAAACGAACCCACAGAGAACAGCAGAGTAAACCTCGCGCTTTCAGGTCACACCGTACTTAAGGTGATGTACACACAGCAAGGACCTCTTGGTGCCATTGGCTCCAAGCGGCCGTGTCTGCCACACTCCCAGGGATGGCGGAGTTTATCTGAAAGAGCTCATTTGGTGCATCGGAGTCTGATAATAAATAAGTCACCTTTCCATTCATCTTTCTGGCTAACACAGCCCACATACTATATTTCAAGGTGGCAAGAAGTCAGTCCGTCTGCTGGGAGACACTTCTTGGTAGGTTTTGAAATGAGACAGAGGCAGGCCGGGATGTTTTTGCTCTTAGACAAAGAGAAAGCAGGCATCATTCCTGTATCAATGGGGTGTGATGGTAGAGATGCACCGACGGAAGGCCAGTTGCCTGCGTTTGGGTAGAATTGTTTCAAGGCACACCTGAAAATGAAAATGGTATTTTACTTCTCAACCATTATACCCTCTACCCCAGAGTGAGGTTACTGTTTGGTTCAGGATTCAGGTAGGGTTGAAAACACCCTGTCTTGACTAATTAATTCTGGGTTGAGTAGCTTTTGTTCAGTTTGCTTTAATCAAGGAATGCCTTTTCTTTTTTTTAATGGTTAGAAAGTAGGTAAACTACACAAAACTGGAACCACTAAGGTTTTTGTGCTTGCTTACTATACATGTATCTTGAGGTCCTCACTGTTACCTTTGGCATCAAGCTCCTATTATGGACCCTAAGCTCTGCATTCCTGATCCCAGGGATCTTGTCAGTCTAATATGTATATGTCTGAGTACTAACTAAGCACCCCTGTTTTCATGTTTTGATATTTCAATAAAGGGTTAATGGAAGTTAGTAACAATCATCCAACGTTAGTGCCGGAAGGGACTACACTTCACCATGCTAACAAACTGAACTGCCTCGTGAGGGGTCACGAATCACATGAATTGAAATAGGGACCACTCAGTCAATTGATTAAATATTTCCCTTCCATTATACGCAAAGCAATATATGTAAAAAACTCTAACCTAAAAATTTCCACAATGGACATCTGATCCTAAAAATGCCATTTTTATGAGATCTTTTGGAATCTCCCAGGGAAACTAATGTGTGTGTGTGTGTGTGTGTGTGTGGTCATCCATATTAAGATATATGTGTGTATATGCGTGCATATGTGTATGTGGTTATCTATTAAGATGTATCTATGTCTATATGTCTACATGCCTTTCTATCTGGGACCCAGAGCTGTCCAGCAACCTCATCTGCTGAAAGTTTGGCCAGGAACAGGGAGGATGCCCAGAACATGTCTGAGCAGCCACATTGACTGCCAGAATATGCCTGTTCACCACTCACAGGAAGCCCCCCAGGCTCTCCCTCAGATCCTGTTTGCACTAACTTTGGACACAACTCTAATGGATTTGGGTGTGCTAAGCATGGGGCAGAAGCAGCTGCTGGGAAGAAAACTGAAAGAGAACCAATACCTTCTTTGACCAGAAGAAATGAGAGCGGTTCAAAGCAGGCAGAGAACAAAAGCCTATAGTTTAAGGCCACTTTGCTTAAGGAGAGCCAGCTCTCCCATCTCAAGAGGCTCCAGGGAGTGTTCCCGTATCACAGAGAGACATTGTGGTTTAAGGCCTTGGGAGTGGCTGCTAGTCATTAAGTGAAAGTCAAGTAATGTTTGTGATAGATCCTCTATTAAAGTTTAGAAGGTTTGAGGGGCGCCTGGGTGGCGCAGTCGGTTAAGCGTCCGACTTCAGCCAGGTCACGATCTCGCGGTCCGTGAGTTCGAGCCCTGCGTCAGGCTCTGGGCTGATGGCTCAGAGCCTGGAGCCTGTTTCCGATTCTGTGTCTCCCTCTCTCTCTGCCCCTCCCCCGTTCATGCTCTGTCTCTCTCTGTCCCCAAAATAAATAAACGTTGAAAAAAAAAATTTTTTTTTTAAAAAAAGTTTAGAAGGTTTGCATTCAAAATGGCTCAAATGAAAAATGTTTTGGCACTTAAAGAAGTAAAACCATGGGGAATCTGGGAAAACTCAGGTAGGCAAAATGGCTTCTCCACCCAGCCAGAGAAGGAAAGGAGGCTGTTTAATATATTCTCATGCTCCCAGATTCTGGCCTGGCTTTCTAGCCTGCAACAAGAGAAGGCCTGTTTCTGAAACAGGACATATACCTCACTTGAATTATCAAGGACAGGAAAAATGACATGATATAGAAGTGAAAGTGGATTGCTGGTATAAGATAGTTTGTCATTTTCCTCTTGTATCAGAGCTAATGTCCTCGTGCCCCCAGATTTTTTTTTTTTTTTTTTTTTTTTTTTGGGACAGAGAGACAGCATGAACGGGGGAGGGGCAGAGAGAGAGGGAGACACAGAATCAGAAACAGGCTCCAGGCTCTGAGCCATCAGCCCAGAGCCCGACGCGGGGCTCGAACTCACAGACTGCGAGATCGTGACCTGGCTGAAGTCGGACGCTTAACCGACTGCGCCACCCAGGCGCCCCAGCCCAGATTTTAAATCTTGCTTTTACACACAGGGGAAAACCTCCTTCAAGCCCCATTATCTGTCATTGGAGGCCTGAAGGGTGTGGGGTCCCTTGTGCCATTCTCTGCGGCCCCTAAAGGAGGAGGCATAGTGCTAAGGGGTATGTCAGGTGGGCTGTCCCCTACACCGAGACTTGAAGGGAAGGAGCTATTCCAGAGCCACCCCTCCCTCCACCCTCAGCCACTGCAACAAGTAAGCACTAACAGTGAAAGAAGCTCGTTGTGTGATGTGTCTCTTAGCCCAGAATCCTGAACCTCCTTGGACCACCTACACCTATTTCCTGTCATTAAGACCATGTTGCCTCCAAGACGTTTTCCTCCCCACGCACTTCCCATCTGTGATTCTTCTCTGTTCTCCTTACCTTCTTCTGTTTTGTCTCCCCCCGCCCCAAATTGTGTCCATCTGACTAAGTAGGCTGTTAAATAGCATTAGACAAGCAAGCACACAGGGCAAGCGCTACTCAGATATGCTTCCTGATGCACTCCCACATCCCAGTGGAATTGCACTTCCCAAAAGGTGCATTGGCCGTCACCACTGCACAAAGCGTTCAGGGACAATGTCAGGTTCTTTGCCTGTTTGCCGCCAGCCCACACCTCTATGCTCAGCTGAATACCATGCTAAATACCAGTCTTTATAAAATACACATTTCACCATAACAACTTGGATATATTTTCTTTTTCCAGTTACACACAGTGTGAAATATGCCATGTACTGCTTGGCTACGCCTTTTTTTTTTTAACAAATGTGTATCTGAAGAAATCATTTGGCACACACCTCCCAGTAACATCACTATAAATAACATGTACGTTGAAAAGAAATTGTATTCCTTAAATCATAGGAACTCGTAGACTTTTATGCAACACATTTAGAGGATTACTGTAATGGCATTTATCCTTAATATGACTTCAGACTATCTCAGTGGAAAAGTCGGCAATAAATAAATGTCTGCCTCAAAGTCTAGGGACTCAGCGTTTTTCATTCGAGGGAGCTGGGTTTAAGAAAACATTGAAATACGCACTTAACTACTCTCCGGTTTTTTTTTAGCATGCACATCTCTGAAAGCCAACAAGAATTCTTCAGAATGCTGGATGAAAAAATTGAAAAGGTAAGAAGTAAAAATAAATTCCTTGTTTCAAGGGAAATATGCTAACTGCCTCATGAGTTAAGGTAATAATGTTCTGGTTTCTGTGTTGCAAAGCTGTTCCTGTAAGAGTATGGGTAGAGAGTTAAAAGAAGCCCCCTCCCCCTGCCACACACACAAAATGTGACTGTGAGAATGTTTAACGTATACCAGAGCATCCAAGATTCTCGGCTTGTTGACCATTAATTAATTAAAGTGTGTAGGGCCAGATAGGGTCTAGCAGTGCCAGTAAGAGCCTTTGCCTAGAGACAGAACATTGCTCTCAGTGCACATTGTCTGCACGTGATGCCTTGCTCTCGCTTCAGACTGCAGGCAAGAAGGTTCTTAGTACCTGCCAGAACTTATGGAATGTCTGCTGTATACCTGACACTGCTCTGAGTTCTCCTACAAACATCGCAAACCTGTTACAGTCAATACCGACCTCAGGGACATGGCTCTGAGACAGGTTTTATCTTCCTTTTACAGACAAGGAAACTAAGGCTCAGAATATTTGAATAACTTACCAAGGTTTGCAAGGCTGGTAGTGGTCCAGTTGGAATTTCAGCCCACATCTGCCTCACTCCAAAGCCGAGACTCCCAAGTTGCTTCTCTAGGAGTGTGTGCATTTTACAATGACAAGAAGATCTGTGTGGAAAATTGAACCCATACTTAGGATCTCAGAGTGCCATATGCTAATCAACTGAATGAAGTATGGAAGATGGTAACAATTAAAGGCTTACTTGCAGACTTGCAGAATTTAAATGCATCACCGCAGGGGGTGAATTTAAATAATGAAGTTATAAATCTGAGTATTTTCATTTGAAAACCTTGTTCTGAAGAAGAGTACAATCCTAAATTCAGAACATAGCACAACTGTGGTTAAGGCATCATGGGCCAGTTTTGCCTTTGAATTTTTTCCATGTTTATTTTTATTTTTTACATTTTGTGGCCCTTTTATCTGAGCATTTGTTCACAAATTCCTAAGTTATGATACATATCACTCAATGGAAAATAATGAAGAAGGGCTTAAATTCACCAGTATTTCAGCAGCAGACCCCATTCTGAAATGGACCTCCTTAAAGAATAATTGTATAATCTTCTAAGGCACCATTACAAGACCAGCAGATGTTACCAATGTGAAAGGTAGAGATGGGTGATGAATTAAAATGGTACTTTAATGCATAGTATCACTTGGCTATACATAAATACTGATTTGCATGTAATTTTTTTTTATTATTAGTGAAATCCTGGCTCACATATGACTTTTTAGGTTGAAAACTTCATCTGGGAATAATTACCAAGTTTCATGTGTTGGTTCAAAACCTGTTCAAGGTGTCAATAGCATTTGTTTTAATAAAGAAAAGCATAAAATAAATATTTCATTCCCACTGTAATGGTGAAGATCTTTTCTTTCTCAGTTTATTTGGATTTTTTTCCTCCACTAGCTTTTTGGCAATAAAAAGATCTTAGTAGTCAGAGTTAGTCTGTAAAAACCAAAACCTGAATAGTAAGTTATCTTTTTAAACAAAATTTACAAACCCTGACAAGGCATTTAAGATGATCTAATCCCTTTCTGGTGTGTTTCCATAATAGAAATTCTACCTCCTTGCACTCACAACTGGAATTCATTGTTTCCATCTGAAATCCGATTTCCCTTTTTCCTTTTGCATCCAGGGTAATGACGTGTCTAACACAACAAAAGCAAAGTGCATAACTTGATCATTTGTTGGATAGAACCGTCCCTGGACAAAGGAACATTTGTAGACTCAACATAAACAGTATTCTCCCTATAAAATATATTTATATCTGAAGAAGAGTTTTTATATAACCTGTGACATGCACCCAGTTCTAGATGTCTAGTGGAATTTTCTGTCTGCTCTGAACCAAGCTTTCCTGTTTCTTCCCTCTTATCTAAAATTCACCCTTCTGAATATTGTGAACATGCTGTTCCATGTACTATTTGACCATTGAGCCTCCAAAGTTAAAATGTACTTCCTTAATATATGCATTTGGCTTAATACAATCCTCACCATATTTTATATAGCCCAAATTGGAAGTTGGGTTCTTACAAATTATTCTCCTGACTTTTCACCATTGCCAGATATTTCTTTGGTACAAGTTAGCATGGGGACAACTAACTATACATGCAACTCAGATCTGTTCTGTAGGTTTCCTAGGGCTGATTTAAAAAAACAAAAAAACTCAGAGCTTCATGCTGAAAATTGGAGTCATTCTAAGAGAGCTTGAGTTTTGAGATTTAATCTCCCTCAAAATGTCCAGAAATTGCTTTTTCTTCCTTAAACTGATAAGAAGTAAAATTGACTGAATGTGGGGAGATTTAAACCTGCTCTTCCTTGATTCTTCTTTTGTATTTATTGAATGTCTGCAGGATGTGGTTTCAATTTACCCTTCAACTCTTGACACCAAAAGAAATCTCTGCTCTCTCAAGATAGATGTAAAAGTACCATTAGAATAAAGAAACTAGGGACGCATCTGGGTGGCCCAATTGGTTGAGCCTCCAACGTAGGCTCCGGGCATAATCTTGTGGTTCGTGAATTCGAGCCCCACATCAGTCTCCACTCTGATGGTACGGAGCCTGCTTGGGATTCTCGCTGTCTCCTTTCTCTCTGCCCCTTCCCCACTCATGTCTTCTCTCTCTTAAGATGAATAAACTTTAAAAAATAAACTAGGACTATTAGGTGGTATAATATTTCTAGTGAAACTTAAATTTGGACTGCTCTCATTCAGAGGTGATCATGGTGCCGAGGTGCAGTTTACCTTTGCACCGCAGCTGGACCAGCATTTTCTAAGTAGTGGTGGCAAAGAGAAGAAAGTTGCAAAAATACATTTAAAAAAGCTAACTTGAGACACCTGGGTGGCTCAGTTGGTTAAGCATCCAACTTGAGCTTAGGTCGTGATCTCATCATGCCTTGAGTTCAAGCTGAACCCACATTGGACTCTCTGCCATCAGCACACAATTGTCACTATGGGCCAGGTCCTCCTGTTCTGAACACAGGTGTCTGTGGGGTCAGTTATTAAAACTTGAGGTCCGTTAACCAGGCAATCAGGACAGCTTCTTGGACACTTGGTACCATTTCAGGTGCTCTGGTGGTGTGTAGGAGGCCAGGACGCTGTTTCATCTGGAGATAAACAAGGGAGAGCTTTTGACAGAGAGCAGGGAGAGTTCCAAAGAGCTCTGTTTGATTGATTTACTTTTGCATTTCCTTTTTGGAGAGTAAAAATCCTCTGAAACAACAGGGGCACCTCATTTGTTTTTACCTCATTATTTTTTACACGGATATCTAACTGATTCCATTGGAATCTATAGTTGTTTTGCCTGACAGTTCACAGACTCCTGAACCTTATGTGAAGTGGTGACATTTGTCTAATTTTGCAACTTAGAGAAAATGACAGTTTACTGCAGAGCAAGGTAATGATTTTAAATTCTAGTTTTTCATTGTATTTAGAGGAGAAAGAAGGTATCTAGATTATTAAAAGTTGGCCCCATGGAGGAGATTCTGAGTATACTACCAAATACAGATCACATAAGATTTTAAGATATGCTTTCTTCTATACATTTGGGTTTAATTGTTAGAAGCAAAACAAGTAAATACATGTATTCATAGGAATTATAGTATCTTCTCTAGGCAAAAACAAGTATATATATTTGCTTTTTGAGGATATAAGAATAGCTGATGACCAAGGAGTCTGTTGCCCACCCCCCCACCCCCGCCCGCGACACCTCTGTGTGTGTATATAATATATATATATATACATATATATATATATATATATGTATATATATATATATAATTTATTTATTTTGACAGAGAGAGAGAGAGAGAGAGAGAGTGGGGGAAGAACAGAGAGAGGGAGAGAGAGAGGAAATCCCAAGCAGGCCCTGCACTGTCAGTGCAGACCCAGATGCGGGCTCAGACTCACAAACCATGGGTTCGTGACCTAAGCTGAAGTCAGACACTTAACCGACTGAGCCACCCAGGCGCACTAACACCTTTATATTAAATAAAGAATATCTCAGTACAGTACCACATGCATCTGGTTAGTTTTTCTCAAGCAAAATTGTAAACTATTTTGGTGGTGAGTATCTTTTTGGAATCTGGTAAAAGTGATAAAGAGTCTCCCTATAAAAATGTACATTAGTGGTGCCTGGGTGGCTCAGTTGGTTAAGCATCAGACTCTTGATTTCGACTCAGGTCATGATCTCACAGTTGGTGAGATTGAGCCCCATGTTGGGCTCTGTGCTGGCAGCATGGAGCCTGCTTGGGAGTCTGGCTCTCCCCGTCCCCTACGCACACACACACACTTGCTCTCTCCTCTCTCTCTCAGAATAAACGTCTTTTTTTTAATGCACATGATATCACATACACTAATTTCTTAAGTCAAATGTCAGAGTTGTGTAGTTCCCTGGAGCCTATCCCTGGGCCCCAGGCCAAGAACCTGTGGATTTCTTTATGATTCATATGATTGATGTGCTTCCCTCAAATCTGGGGCTCATTTGCACCCTTGAACCTTATCAGCAATGATCCATATAGATGTCTGGTTTTAAAGATTAGAAGACTAGGGCTCCTAGGTCGCTCAGTCAGTTGAGCATCCAACTTTGGCTCAGGTCATGATCTCACAGTTTGTGAGTTCGAGCCCCACGTCAGGCTCTGGGTGGACAGCTCAGACCCTGGAGCCTGCTTCAAGTTTTGTGTCTCCCTCTCTCTGCCCCTTCCCTGATCATGCTCTCTCTCTCTCTCTCTTTCTCTCTCTCTCTCAAAATAAATAAACATTAACAAATTTTTTTTAATTTAAAGATTAGAAAACTGAGTGCAGATAATTCCCATGCAAAGCCATTCTCCTTTTTTTCGTACTTTCCTTCCTTCTTCTCAAAAGTAGCTGAAAGTACTTCACCCCCAAGGCTGAGCCACCAGCATACCTAGTGTGTCGTCTCACTTATTCCTGTGTGAGCTTGAGACTACCAC